TGGAAATCAAAAGCAGAGAATGAACTTGTTAGAGCAACAACAGTTGGAACTCTTGAGTACGGATATATGGAAACTCTAAATGCAGATATTCGGAATGGCAAAAGCAAATGGAAAAAGGCACGAGTTGCTTCACAAGAGTTTGGAGATATAGAGACATGGAGTAGAGGACGGCAATCAGAAGGGCAAGAAGTTTCAAAGGGCGGGATTGATTGGTTTCTATATCGAGAGATGGTTCTTATTCCTCTTCTCTTCCCCTACTTTCGAAAAGTAAAGGCTTTACATCCTACAAAACGAGTATGGTTTGTGGATGATAATGTAAGTCTTCATTTGAAGGCTCACCGATCATTGGAAGATTATATGAAGAAGGAGGGAATCTATAGAGTGAAATTTTGGCCTCCAAACTCTCCCGATTTGCACCCTATTGAAAATGCCTTTGATTATCTCAAGGATCAGGTTGATGGCTATACACCATTAAACGGAGGGAAGTTTGAGAGAGCTCATGCACGGGTATTTCTTGAGGAAGAATGGGGGAAAAAAATGGATGGGAAATCTACACAATTATGTGCTTCGTTTAAGGACAAGTTGGAGCGGTGTATTGCAGTCAATGGGGGGAACAACTTTCGTGGGTAGATCAGTACAAGTACGTAGAGTATGTACATGCATTTTCTCCAAGTACTTACACGCCCCACTTATTACACACAGACCCTGTGGAAACTTTTGGGCCGCACGAGTACATGTACGTTACAAATAAAAATAATAATCTAATATTTTGTATGCCACCCATTAGCAGCAATAACTGCTTGACAACGTGCAGGCATAGAGTGAATTAATCCGATTGCAGCAGGAATATCTTTCCAAAGTAGACGGCGATTTACTCGAGAGGCAGTAACAAAATTAACAAGTTGCTTTCGACGGGGTGTATTAATACCAACTTTACGACCGCATTTTCCTTTTCGTTGTGGTGTTGGCCGAGTTTCAAGAGCATATTGTACCTGTCGAGGCGTACAATCTAATAACTTGCAAATTTCATATGTCGACCATTTTGCATCATTAAATAAAGTATAAATCCGTAGACGTTCATCTCGAGACAGCTCTTGCTGTCGCTTTGGAGTTGATGGCGGCTCAACTTCCATTGTTGTTAATTGAATTACTATAACGCGTCACGTACATACGATAAAGCAGCACAACATTACTCGGGTAATCAGCGCTCCCTATTTGTCCATATATTTACAAGGGAGTTACAAGGGTGTAGACGATCATTGCACAGTTAACAATTATTGACCCAAAGTACGAGTATGACAGAGAGCAGCATATATCATCTGCTTTGTAGCACCTGCTCCATTCTCGTATTGCTGATGTATCCATTGTTTGATTGTGACAACTTGAGTGTTTGATAATAGCTTATTGTGCCCTCCATGCTGTTCTTGTTGAGCTGTTGTGTTCGTTTCTCAGAGGATTGATCGACGTAGGGTATCTGCTTTGACTTTGAAAATAGTTGCAGCAGTAGAAACTAATTCAGAAGGATTTGCAAGGAGCCATTCCTTTGCTTCACGAAGTGTAGCCTTGTGGTCGGACATGTTGTTGAATCGTTATAGAATTGTTGTGGAAATTAAATGTTGGGGCAAGACATCTTGCTTCCCACAAGACAACTTGCTTATTCCGACTGGGAGCGAAGCGACCAGGCGGATCCGACGATTATAGATCACGGTCTAGTCTGAAGATTTGGGACCGGACCGGACCATGGTCTGGTCTGGGGTCGGTCAACCGATGGGGCCGGTCCCCCATGACGCAACCTAAGTGTATGATCCATCTCTCATTGGCCAACCCCGCCAAGATACATCAAGCAATGCCCCTATGGATAGAAATTACGGGTATAATTCCGCATCCGTTGCGTTTTTCAACGGTGCGGGGAAAGGATTAAAGTTGTTGCGCTGTTATGCTTGTTACGCCTCATTTGGCGTGTACAGGATTCAGTGGAATCTTGGTGTTTTGTCTGCAAATCCTTACCCTTTTGAAGGTGAGTGACGCCTAAGTACTGTACAACTGCAGCTTACTGTTAGTGTATGCCGCTCTATACAGTACTCTTCTTTGCTTTGTAGCCACAGAATGTAGTGAGCACTACTGGCATCCGGCTGACTGCCTTGTCCTTGTAATGGCGTACTGTGGGAGGCGTTATTTCGGGCTTACTCATTCCCTTGCCCTTTAACTCCTTGGAAATGTCAATTTACGAGATGATCATCTTGATCGTGGGCCGTCGGCTCTTCGCCTAATTGGCGACGATGAGGATGAAGGATTGCGGCCCCCGTACCTTGGCGCTCCCGCCAATTCAAGACAACATGGGCAAGCTCAACAATGATCCTCGCACGTGGACGAGATGCGGAGGGGGCCATGCTTACGATGTACAGCATGTCCACGGGTAGTACGTGTATAAGTAAAGTCGCTCTTGCTTTAATTTAATGTTACGCAATAGAGAGGGGTTGCTAAAATAAAGTCTCGGTCGTCAAGAACCAAATTGATTGACAGTTATCACCATGCTCATCTCGATACTTCATTTGGCCTCCGGCCTGTCACTCGCCACAGTCGCATTAGCAGCGCCGCAAAGCTGCGTACCAAAGCAGGACGACAGTGCAACGCGTGCCGCGGCTGTGAAGGAGGCCTTCGAATTCGCATGGGAAGGTTATTATAAGTATGCCTTCCCGCATGACGAACTCCGCCCAGTTACAAACGGATTTACGAATTCAAGGTACGTTCTTCTCCCTAAATCCTACTCTATATAGTTTAGTTTTTAACAATTTTTTAGAAATGGCTGGGGAGCAAGCGCAGCCGACGCCCTCAGTACGGCATTGGTTATGGAGATCCCCGAAATTGTGAATCAAATTGTGGATTACATCCCAACTGTGGATTTCACCAAAACTAATGACCAAGTCAGCCTGTTTGAGACGACGGTAAATAGCCTTCGCAGATTCAAGGAATTAGGACCCACGCTAACTGAATAGATTCGATACCTAGGGGGCATGATATCTGGATATGATCTCTTGAAAGGACCTTTGGCGAGTCTGATCCCTGATGTAAGGAGAGCAGCTGACCGACACCGAGCTACATCCCCACATGATCAAACGCCAACTGACTTTCAACAGAACAAGAATATTGAATCGCTCCTTGCCCAATCAAAGAATCTGGCAGACCAGATGAAGTTCGCATTTGATACGCCGTCTGGAGTGCCCGCGAATAACCTTAATCTCGAGGCGCAGGCCACCGATGGGGGTGATACCAATGGCATCGCCACCATTGGCACCCTGGTTCTGGAATGGACTCGATTGTCTGATCTGACTGGCGACGATGAATATGCCAAGCTTAGTCAGAAGGGGGAATCGCACCTCCTAGCCCCGAAGCCAGAGAATAATGTTCCATTCCCCGGCCTTATCGGAACGAACGTCAACCTTACCACTGGCGAATTCGTAGATGCTCGTGGGGGTTGGGGGGGTGGCGATGACTCTTTTTATGAGTACCTCATTAAGATGTACATTTATGATCCGTCCCGATTCAAGACGTATAAAGACCGGTAATATGACAGGTTCCTTGACTGCCTTTATCTAACAAATATAGCTGGATTCTTGCCGCCGATTCCACTATCAAGCACCTTACATCCCACCCGAAACCCAGACCAGACCTTACGTTCGTTGCTAACTACGACGGAGCCAACTTGCAAGAAAATTCAGGGCATCTAACCTGCTTTGATGGTGGCAATTTCCTTCTTGGCGGGTCTGTCTTAAAGAGGAAGGATTACATTGATTTCGGTCTATCTCTCGTGGACGGCTGCCGCGCGACCTACACAGCGACTAAAACCCATATTGGCCCCGAGGGATTCTCTTGGGATGCTAGCAAAGTCCCAACTAATCAAGCTGATTTCTTCAAAAAGAATGGCTTTTATATCACTTCCCCAGACTATGTCTTGCGCCCTGAGGTCATTGAAAGCTATTACTACGCATACCGGATTACTAGGGACCAAAAGTACCAAGAATGGGCATGGGATGCTTTTGTAGCGATTAATGCGACCACCCGAGTTGGCAGCGGCTTCAGTTCCATCTCTGATGTCAATGCCGAGGGTGGAGGCCAGAAGACAAACTTTCAGGAGAGTTTCCTGTTTGCAGAGGTCTTAAAATACACCTACCTGATTCATGCCAAGGTTTGTTACACCCTTCTCCATGAATTCATATACAACTCCCCCTTCCAACCCCCTTAACTATCATACCCTGCGATCATTTGGCATATTACTGTATTGCGCATAAAAGCTAATATAAACTGCAGGATAACGTCTGGCAAGTGGATGGCAAGGGAAATAACGCATTTGTTTTTAACACTGAAGCGCATCCTTTCCAGATCTACAAAGGCGCAAGCAAGTAAGGTTCGACATTGGGCAGCCTGCCTATAACTCGAAGGCACCATGCATAAATACAATACATATGCTTCTGGCAGGTCTTGAATCTACAGGGTATTCTTTCTCTCTCATACCATATAATTATGCCCTTTCCCGTCTGGTCTGTGATATTTTTCGTCCGTATGGTTTAATCCCAGGAAGAATGCGCTAGAAATGCCTCAATTGCCGATGCCTAGTCCCAGTACTCTCATCTGTATAAGTTACACTTATATTCGACTTCTCATATTTATCATCTGTTGGGCGCCAGGTTGAAACCAATCTAGGCTTAGTCTAACGCCGCCAAGACCCATAAATGTATGATAGTGACACACAACACTGGTGGTACGATGCTTGTCTGTGGAACTTCAATTATATCAAGATTCTTATAAATAAAACCCAAGGATGGTGCTGCGTACCGTCACATGACGAGCCTGTTGATCACTGATAATAGCGCCCTCTACTCTACAACCCCGCCTTAAATATATACAGTGCCAGCATCCAGCAATCAAGGTATCAGGCTCTAAGATCCTTCCTCTCACTGCATCGCACTCAAAAGCTACACTAACTCCCAATAGTATTCAAAATGGCAACCAAGGCCGTTGAATCACTCTCCTCCTCTCTCTCAACCACCACCATCTCCCCCGGCCGCCGTCCCTACACGGGGTCCTGCGGCTACACCAAATATCTCACCCTCCCACCGCCCATCATCTCCGCCAACCCACCCTCACCCTCCGCATCCGGAAATGCAACTGTTCGACCTGCCAGAAGATTTCGTACTAGGGTGTTCTAATCCCAACTTGTACGCGGATCTGTTCTGTACTTAAGTCGGTAGGGGGTCATTCTAATGGATGCGTAGGGCAGGGTCATTTGCATGCGATCCATTATAGGGATGAGCTCGCTCTAATTGTCCTAGTAATGGGATACACGTCCGCCTGATGGATGAGCCGAACGACTTTCTGCTTTTGGGTTCGCTGAACCCTACGGATGGGGGCTTGAGCGATTATACGTGCTTTAAGGGGGGTATTCACTGGTACTTCTGCAGCAAGTGTGGGGTTAGATGCTTTGCTTTCGCTGGCGAGGGAGTGGTCCGTGAGGTTGAGGTAGAAGGTGCAGAAGGTGTGGGCGGCGGCAGTGTGGCCAATAGTTTATCAGTTTATCAGTTTAACCAGTCCAGTCCAGTCCAGTTCAGTTCAGTCCAGTTCAGTCCAGTTTAAGGTTTCAACAGTTCAGTTCAGTTCAGTTTAGCAAAATTTATATCAGTTCAGTTCAGTCCAAACTATTAGTTCCAATCACGTGGGAAGTCAAGTGCTAGGCTTGTTGGGAATCGGAACGGGAGCTGAGGGATTCCGGGTTTTTGGCCTAGAAGTTTGGTAATCCGCACCGAGGGGCCAGCGTTCCATGGCCCTTAGCGGGGCAGGTGAAAACTCTGTACCCAGAACAGTGGGCATACGGAGGATTACGGTAATTACTGTAGGGCCCCAAAACGCCCATAAATAGTGAGTAGGCCATTAGAATAGTTAGAATCAATTGACCCGAATGCTGTAATCTATTGTCGAAGCCTTCTTGCCCATTGCGCAAAACCTGAAGGTCCGACTGACAAAACCGCCACACGATTTGTGCACGGTGACAATTTTTCGGTCCTTCCCCCAACAGGCTGCTCTCCACAGCTACATGGAAGCCTAGACAGTGACCACTGCTGCCTATCGTACCTACCAATCTTGTTCACTATTCTTTCGTCTGCTGCTATTCATTTTTCATACCTAGATTCCTTGGTTACAATTCAGTACTACAATATAAACCACTATGGCCTCCCAACAGTCTGATAGCCTGTCAATCATTGACAGCGGACAATCTAGAGCACCTTGTTCATCCTCTCTCTCAACTCCTACACAAAAACGCGATCGCAGATCAAAGATATGGGACTACAATGAAACCTCACGGGAGACACGTATTACCAACTCAAGTGGAAAGATGCTCTGGCGATGCAAGCTATGTCACAAAGAGTATCTGGAGTCTGGAGGCACTGCTAATATATCGAGTCATTTAATAAAGGCTCATAGCGTCGATATAATGTCTTCACAAGCCGCGAAAGTCCTCTCCCGGCAAACCAGCATTAAAGAAGCTATGGCCCGGGGCCAAGAGACTAGCTATAAACGCCGCCGCCTAGCTGAAGAGCCAGATACAGAGCATACGATGGATCCTGCAGTACTAGAGCACCTTTACGTGCGGTGGATAACTGCTTGTAGAGTTTCTTTTCGTATGGTTTCCCAAGGAATTTAGGGCGTTTCTTCATTACCTTAATCCAGAAGTGGATGTTTGGCTTCCTGATTCGCATATGTCAATACAAGCGTGGACGCTCCGTACGTATGAAAATGAGTGACTACGGATACAACAGAAGGTCCAATCAGCACTCTCCAAAGTCCACTTTACTGTAGATCTATGGTCCTCCCCTAATTCCCTAGCGATTCTTGGAATGATTGCGCATTATATCAGTGAAAATGGGGAGTTGACACATTCTGTACTTGCCTTAAAGGAGATAGAGGGAAAACATTCAGGTTAGTACTTTGAAATGGTCTAATCGTTGTTTAACTAAGAATGAGTTTAGGAGAGAATCAAGCGCAGATCATTATGCAGGTCATTAATGACTATGGGATTGCTTCAAAGGTTGGATACTTTGTAATGGACAATGCAGACAATATGATACAATGACGGTGTCTTTATCTGAGAGTCTGTATAAATCATTCTCATGTTTTAGACTTTAGTTAACTCATTTTACAGTGCTCTTGGATCAGTACAAAATCTACTACAACCTACTTTCTCACAGGCTTCGGTGCAATGGCCACATCATCAATCTGGCAGCCCAAGCCTTTCTCTTTCAAACTGAGGATGAAGCTCTTGCAGAAGAGAACAATACAAAGCTATTGTCGCTCCCCACAGAAGCTGAAATGGCACGGTGGAGAAAGAAAGGGCCACTTGGCAGGCTACATAACATTGTAGTTCATATACAAAGGAGCCCGCAACGGATCGCTAGATTTCAAGAGCTTAGTGGAGGCCGTAACCTTGCACGGGACAACTCGACATGGTGGAACTCTTGGTACAGAATGATCAGCACTGCTATAATTCTCAAAACGCCTGTCAATCTCTATTGTCATCAATAGAGAACGACCGCGACTTATTGTCAGAGCAGGACTGGATTGAGCTTCAAAAGCTTCAGGACTTTCTCCTGACTTTTCACCATGCCACACTTTCTACAGAAGCTTGTGGTGACACAATCGATAAAGTACTGCTATCAATGGACTTTCTGCTTGAGCAGTTTGAAGACGCTAAGCGAGTATATGCTGAGGATTCTTTTATGAGTCCTTGCTGCAACTCAGGGTGGGCCAAGTTGGATAAGTACTACACCCTCACTGACAGATCTCCTGTTTATATTGCAGACTTAGTATTATGTCCACAATGGAAATGGGATTATATTGAAAGTAGCTGGCTGAAGGAATGGCATGCCGATTGTAAGGCAAAGATGCAGGAGTTCTGGGAGTCAGATTACAAGTTGACTGCGGTTTCAGTGCCTACGCAAGCATCCCAGGCAACAGAGTCAGCAAATTCTGGGGTCTCTAATGCCTTTACATAATATATTCAGCGGAAGCAACAAACCAGCCTCGAAAGCGATGAATATGCAAAGTATTTACAAGCCCCAACACTTCCAGAAGTCAGGGACCCACGGTCTTGGTGGTTGGAACCAACACAATGACTAACCTACCCAAACCTTAGCCACATGGCCTTGGATATGTTGTCGATTCCGGCAATGTCAGCAGAGCCGGAGCGTCTCTTTTCAGCCTGTAAAATCACTCTTACTGACCGCAGGAATCAGCTAGGCATCGAGTCTATTCAGGCGATTGAGTGTTGCAAGTCGTGGTTGTGCCGGGGGAGCATACCATATGTGGATGATCTTGAAGTGCCTTCTGACCTGTTGGTCATTGATAGATCAGTTCTACTTCAGCCATACTAGTCTAGCTGTATCCGGCAGATCATGGGCTGCAATTTGAACTAGTTTTAAGTTATTTGAGGTGTTGACTATTGAGTTATTGCATGTTGAAGTTATTGGTGTTTACCATATGGAATCACGTGTACAAACTATTAGTTTATCAGTTTACCAGTTCGTTTATCAGTCCGTTCAAGCCAAATGTTATCAGTTCAGTTTGAGACCTCGACAGTTCAGTTTGAGACCTCGACAGTTCAGTTCAGTTCAGTTTGACCCTCTAAGCTAAACTGAACTGAACTGTTTGGACTATTGGCCACACTGGGCGGCGGACCCTGAGAAATGGGGGAAGGGCAAGGTTGCATACTTGAGTGTTAATGCCGCGACGTTGGATAATAACCAGGAGAGGTTAGATCTTACCGAGTGGACTGAGAAGGGATGGATTTCTTATATAGATTGGAAAAAAAACGCTGATGAGGCACGTATCGGAAAACCGCATGAGGGTGGAATGTATTAGGCTCTATTGTGTGCTACATTAATAAACTCTGAATTATGATATTTCTTAAAGTCCCTCTTTGGGCTTTTGGGCACTACGAGCATGAGATATTCGTTAAACCGCCACTTATGCCTAAGTTCCGGACTAGTGCTCGTGATATCTAACCTTTAGAACATAGTTTATAGTAATGAAGAAACGGCTCTTTGGCACTGTCCCGTAAAAGAGAAAGAAAGGCCCTGATCTTTTAGTTATAGACTACAGTTCCTGCTAATGAAGAAATGTTTCGCAGCACTGTTCTCTTTAAAGGAAAGAAAGGGCTGCTAATGTCTAAGTTCTAGAGTAGGGATTCTTTTAATGAAAAAACGGCTTCTCGGTGCTATCCTTCCGAAGAGAAAGAAAGGCCCCTAACGTCAAAGTTGCAGACTAGAGTTGCCCTCGATTAATAAATGGGTTCTAAACACCAACCTCGAACTACATAAGAACCAAGCTTGTGGCAAAGGACACGGGCGTAGAGCACTGAAATTAAACGCATGGCACCGATATTATCTAACATTCACGGCCTCTTCGGGACTATTACGCACTGTTCTTACGTCGGAATTTCAAATGACTTGTTTGGGGGGATAAATTGTAAAATTAAAATCTAATATCTTAGAATACCCATCTCCATCCCCAAAGAATTAAAAATCAACGAATTGATTGGCCTCCCCCGGATGTAGAATATCGTCATCAGACCCTCTTCAGAGCGGTTCCATCGCTGATTTTTTCTCCTTCTTCCATGACGCGACAGACACCAAGCTCCACTGCCTCTTCCCAGTTGCTTGCAATCTTACCCACTGCTAGTTTCAAGCCACCAAGAGCCATCTTCGCTTTCTCAGTCCTCATAAGCCTTCCTGCCTTGGCTGCTAGATCATTGACAAATGGGCTCTTGGAGTAATCGCGATCCAGGTGCCTCACATCCAGAGAAACAACAACTCTGGTCTTCCCTTCCAACTTCACAACGATGTTAATCACTCTGCAACGAAGTCGCTCCAACAGTTTGATTACTCGTGACCCCTCTGTAAAGAAATTGGCAAACGTCATCGGATCTTCAGCCTCTGCGGCGGTTGGATCTTTTGACAGAGCCCTTAGCGCAAAAGCAAGAGTGATAGAGTCCAAAGCCACGTCGCTTGCGATCAAAGTCTGAATGGAGTTGGCAGTGTCTTGCATCCACACCAAGCTCGAAGTCTCCTTGGTGTGCTCGATCACCACATTTCGGAACAGGTAGACGTATGCTGGGTATAAGCATTGATCGAACCTCGAGATGGCTCTGTTGTCTCGCACAAGTGCATGGAAAGTATTGCGCTGATACAGGAAGTTGGTGGCCTCTTCGTTTATCTTTTTGCAGACTCGCAGAATTCCCAGGTCAAGTCCCGCGTTTCTTTGTACGTCGCACCAGTCGGGATAGAGAATGATGGGTGCGTTGCTGATAAGAAGATGGCCATAGACAATTTCTCGGAGCTCCATTGGAAGATTTGACAGAAGAGGATATGCAGGTTTCTCCACCGGTGCTAGATTGGATTTTGCTTCCCGCTTCAACCTTGCACTCTCTTTTCTGGCCTTCAGGCCTTGATAGCACCTTGGTTTGGAGATTGCGAAGGTAGGCCCAGAGTTCAATACTCCCCATGTCAGATGACAAGTTGAATCTTTGGCAAAGCTCGTGCTGTAGTCTGGTGGGTTCATTGGTTCTTCCCCTGCTCTTTCGGACATCGACAGCACATCTTCCCTGCAGAGTAGGCGTTTCTGGTAGGCTTTACGACTTCTGAAAGGCTGTTCCGCTTCAGAGGTATTGGATTCAGTCGCCATTTTTGGCAGCAAGTGAAAAGAAAAGAGGAAGAGGTAATATGAGACTAAGGAGTGATGGATTGTAGCTCTTTTTGGCAGACAAGTCTAGATGTAAACGCTAGTGCCAGTGAGGATGAGCTGATCCGGAAATGAAATGAGGTCAGCTCGAGGAATTGGCGGCGTCTAATCTTAGAATTGTGGTATCTTTGTTGGTGTCAAGTGCCTACGGGTGAGGTTAGAATTGGGACGGAAAAACGGGATGTTGAGAACTTGCCTTGGATTCTAGACAATTGGGAGTGGAAACGAGAAAGAAAGACGGAAGGTCACGGCAAACATGGAAGGCTGAAGCTGGCAGATATCGAAGGTTGAGGGTTCAGGGTGGTACGAAGAGGTATCGTAATTTGTGGGGAAGAAAAAAAAAAAGAAACAGAGAAAGAAGGAAAGGTGGGTGGCCGCGACATGCTAAGAGGCTCGAGGTTTGGTTGAAGTTTGAGGTTAGAGGGCGGAGGAGGGTGAAGATCGAAAGGTGAATGGCGATGGAAAGAACAAACAAGATATAATTTGAATGTTGTGAGAAAGATAAGGATAAGGGGAGAAGGCTAAGCGAAGGGGGTTTCAGGAGATCAATAATAGACGAAATGGAAACAGTGACTTGGCAAGCCATAATTGGTACTGAGTTACTAGCGTGGAGCAACGAGGAGCGGAGACTTTGGTGTATATATAGCTAGCCACTTGGTATAGTGACTGGTAATAGAGTCGAAGGTGGGTTACTGGGTTTCTGGCGTGGCTTTAGATAGTGAATATGAATAATTAAATAAATATATAGGAAGCTCCGACCTCATACGAATCACACAGGTGCAGCACAGAGGTGAGGTAACAATTGTTTTCTTTCAGCAACGAACGATAACTATGCAGATAAAACGAATACTTTATCCCAAACAGATCAGCCCATTTATATTGCCCATATTACATCCAGCCTGTGGTGCTTCACTGCTTTGATTATCTTCAGCTGTATACAGTTCGGTATAATATAGTCAACAGTTATCACATTTGATCTTGGTGGTCGAGGTGACCAATCGCAGCAAACGCCCCATAGAAGTGATGACTAAGCGCCACGTTGAAAATGGCCCGCGAGGCTTCAGCCTTTTGGGCCCAAAAGCTTCAGTACTGCTCTAAATAGGCGACGTCGGAAACTGGTCAACGCGCCAAAACGAATACCTTCACCAAACAAATGGCAAAACGATACGCAGTAGACTCCTTGGAGGACATTGCTGGGACAGACTCTCCAGCATCGAAGAAGTACCGGAGCGACAATCACCCGGGATTCCAGAATGGCGGCATCCCATCAAGGACGATGGTACAGGAGGGCCTCGAAACGAGCGAGCGGATCGAGGAGGAAGGCGCCCCAGGCGACTTTAATGATATCGTGTCAGATGAAGAGCAGGTAGATACGAGGGTCTATCGGCAGGAAGCACCCATTGAAGGGTACGACGACCTATATCTCGACACAATCGACCGGCACGTCCTGGACTTCGATTTCGAGAAACTCTGCTCTGTAACGCTATCCAATATCAACGTCTATGCATGTCTTGTCTGCGGGCGATACTATCAAGGACGTGGACCTAAATCGCATGCGTATTTCCATTCTCTCGACGTCGATCATCATGTGTATATCAATATGCAGACGCAGAAGATTTATGTTCTCCCAGAAGGCTACGAAGTCAAGAACAAATCCCTTGACGATATCAAGTTCGTTTCGGATCCGAGGTATACAAAGCAAGAGGTCATGGGTTTGGATCACGCCCCGAAGGAAGCCTGGGCGCTCAACGGAAAGCAGTATACACCAGGATTCGTGGGCATGAACAACATCAAAGACAATGACTACTTCAATGTTGTCATACAAGCACTTTCTCACGTCCCACCACTACGGAATTACTTTATGCTTGATGACTTTTCCACAAAGCCAGAGCTAGCGAAGCGGCTATCGATTCTGGTGCGCAAAATCTGGAACCCGAGAGCCTTCAAGGCACACGTCTCACCCCACGAATTGCTGCAAGAAGTATCACTGAGATCGAATAAGAAATTCTCACTCACGCAGCAAGCAGACCCCGTCGACTTCCTATCTTGGTTCCTCAATAACCTCCACGTCGCGCTCGGCGGCTCCAAAACAAAACCCGGAAGCAGCATCATGCAACAAATATTCCAAGGCAAGCTGAAAATCGAGTCCCAAGCCATCACCGCAAAGGCCGACGCCGGCGACCGCCTACGCTTCGAAGAAGCTGCCGAGGTAAAGGCTGATGTCAGCCGCTTCCTCTTCCTTACCCTAGATCTCCCCGCCGCGCCCCTTTTCCAGGACGAGCTCGAGCGCAATATCATCCCACAAGTTCCGCTCACATCCATTCTATCGAAGTACGATGGCTTGAAGGCGCAAGAACAGCTTAATCACCGCAGGCGGTACCGTTTACTTCACCCACTCCCGCCGTACCTGCTTTTCCACATCAAGCGCTTCAGTCAGAATAAGTTCGTCTCAGAGCGAAACCCTACCATCGTCACATTCGATGCGCGGAACTTGAATATGGGCCCGTACGTGGAGCCGAACCCAAAGTACGCGCCGCCTGGTGAACCGATCTGGTATGATCTCGTGGCGAACGTGATTCATGAGGCGGTGAGGGGGAGGGAGGATAGTGTGGAGGGGGAGGCGGAGAGGAGGGCTTGGAAGGTGCAGTTGAGGAGGAAGGAGGATTGGGTGCAGATTCAGGATTTGTTTGTGGAGCAGACGCAGAGGGAGTTGCTGTACCTTGGGGAGAGTTACTTGCAGATTTGGGAGAAGAGGAGAGGCTGATGAGTGGGTTGGATGGTGGGGAGGTAGAGGGAGGGAGAGGCACCCTTCGATCTTGTTGTAGAACTGTAATTAATTGTATGCTGGGCTGGTAATTAGCGTTAAAATCTATGAAGTGTATTTCTATAATATATATTGAGATGCCAACATGCTCGAAGTTTTTTGTAAATTATATATTGCTCTCGAATTATATATTGCTCTCGTTGAGAAATTTTAGTTATTGCTATAAAAAATCGATGTAATATAAATGCTGATTTAGAGGTTTATGAAATAGCTGGCGGGCTTACAGGAGCAAAGGAGCTATCATGGCAATGGTATGTTGAAACTTGAACTACTGGGAAGACACAACTCAATATCTCATAGAAACCATGAATTGTAACATTATAATGCCATTCTGCGCTCAACTGAGCTGCGATTTCGCTTGCTATGCCAATCCATCTCCCTCCCACCAAGCATGCATAACTATATACAACACCACCTCCACCTACGATATCTAGGATTCCCTAGCTACCTCAAACACCATAGCCCCGTTTTTCCCGGCCACCTTTGCCCACCTCCCCATCCTGTGCTCTTTCCCGATCGCCACAACAATGCACGCCCCATCCTTCCCTCTATCCCCGCGCTCAAAGACGGAGATGTCATTGATGACGCCGCTAACCACTGGCTCCGGGTTCTTCTTCTGGTATGAAATAGTAACAGCAGTCTGCTCCACCGCTTCAGCCTCAGCAGACGAATCCTCCATCGAAACATCCTCCGTAGTAGCAGCAAGAGGAGCCTTAACCGCACCGTGCGGCAAACCCGCAGCCCCTACCACCCCCAAAGCCTCAATCCTCTTCCTATCATCACTAACCTTCCACGCCCTCAACTGCCCATCCCAACTCCCCGACAAAATCACATCCGAATACGGAATCGTCGCAAGCGCCGTAATCCATCTCGGCTGCGGCTGCGGCGCCTTCGACGGATCAGGGTTAACCTCCGCAGACGTCTCATCCAGCGCCAACGCCGGGTCGAAGCCGTGGGCAAGGGAGACGGTGTGGATGGGCTTCTTCTTGTGGATGACCCATAGCGAGATCGAACCGTTATCCGAGCCAGTGACAAACATCTCCTCGTCAATCATCGCAATGCGGTCCATGCTCCCCTCCATTGCCTTGGGCGTAGAGGAACCACGGGCTCTCTTCCCGTCTCCGCCACCGCCGCCGCGGAAAACGAGCTGGGTCTCTTCAACCACCTTCCACAGCCTCGCTGTGCGGTCTCGCGCACCGACGCTGATGCACCGCTCTTGCGCTAGGGAGGCAACATCGACGACCTCGTCCTGGTGACCGAACAGCGTCTCGATGTAGGCCAGCTCGTCCAGAGACCAGATCTTGATCGTCCGATCGCTAGAAGCAGAGTACAGCTGGTTCGTGCCGCGACGGAACGTGAGTCCCGTGACGGAATCACGGTGCTGGGAAAACACACGTAGAGGCTCGAGGGTCGCAGCGTCCCAAATCACGATGCGCCTATCGCGACCACCCGTAGCGACAAACTTGCCGTCCTGGGAAGCGGCGACGCATAGGATGGCGGCGACGTGGCCCTTATAGGCGTTGTTCTTGGCCTCGTTCTTGTTTCCCTTTGCGATTGCGATGCGCTCGGGCCTTCGTTTGGGGGGTGGTGGGGGCTTCTTTGATTTCTTCTTGCCGTCTTTGGGGAGCCATTGGTTGTCGGGGAGGTCTTGGAGCTTCCACTTGATGAGGGAGATGTCTTTGGATACCGTGTAGGCGTAGGGATGACAGGTGGCTATCGAGGTTACGGTCTCGGTGTTGCTGCGGAAGAGGGTGTGGGATGCGGCAGAGAATGATAATTGCTTCGCCAGGCTGCGGTATATCCTGCCTTTGGTCTCGGCGACGTCTTCTTGTAACCTCTCTGCGATCAGGTCCCGGTCAATCTCTTCTGCGTCGAAGCCAACTTCATCCACCTCCTCTCTGATGTTCTCTAGGTATCGTTCTGCAAGTCGTAATCTCCTCTCGGCCGCTGTCTCTTCCTCGCCTCCAGACCCGGAGTCGCTCGACACCTCATCTAAGTCGACGCCATTGTCTCTAGGCCCGTCGTCGCTTTCCGAGTCGCTGCCCGATATCGACTCATCTCGCTGCTGTTTCCTCTGTTTTGGGGCAGAAGTCTCTTTCCTCGCACCAGACCCTGCGACTCTTTTCTTCGGGGCTTCTGAGCTTGAGGGTCTCTTGCGCTTCTTCTGCGCCGCGGGAACTGTGAAAAACGAAGACATGTCGTAATTTGTCTGGGTCAAAATTCAAAGTTTCCCATAACCATATTTCGTTACCCAGCGTACAAAATAAATTCTTCGCCCCAAGAGTTTCTTGCCAGAAAGGCGGTCAAGGAAAGTTTGGCAGGAGGCCAGGCAAGTCAGGCAGAATCCGACGCGTCAGGTTAAGCTAATCCGCTAGAGCTATCCGCTGTGATTGAGAGAGCTCAGGACTGACGCTGGAGCCTCATCAGCCATCAATCACCGCTTTACGTCCACGAAGATACCCCGAGCGACGACGTGCATAGCTTTACTCCTCAGCTATACTCATCACCATTTCATCAGTGATTTGACATCACCTTCACACCCTGAGCTTCTCCGACCAAACAGCAACCCGCCAAGATGTGAGTTTCTTGTTATTCCGAGTGCTATCGCGGCCTCGCATTACGGCTTCTAATAGCGTGTACAGGGAGGTTCTACTTGGTATCACTGGAAAGGACTTTACCCTCGTCGCCGCCTCCAAAGCGGCCATGAGAGGCGCCACCATCCTGAAGGCATCCGACGACAAGACCCGCGCGCTCAACCAGCACACATTGATGGCCTTCTCCGGCGAGGCAGGCGATACCAGTACGTCGAAGCCTTCTTAAATTACTGGCGTATCTAACAATCACCTAGTCCAATTCGCAGAATACATCCAAGCAAACGCCCAGCTGTACTCGATGCGCAACCAGATCGACCTATCACCGTCCGCCGTTGCGAACTTCGTCCGCGGACAACTGGCCTCGAGCTTACGCTCGAGGAACCCGTATAATGTCAACCTCCTGCTTGGAGGCGTTGATCCCATCACCGGGAAGCCGAGCTTGTACTGGCTGGACTACCTAGCATCGTTGGCTCAATTACCATATGCCGCCCACGGCTACGCACAGTACGTTTCCTCTCTCTGAAGACTAATCGGAAAGATGGAATTTGCATGCTAACTGATCCATGCTACAGATACTACTGCCTCTCTATCCTTGATAAGCACCACCACCCCGATATTGACTTTGAGCAAGGAATGAAGATCCTGCGACTGTGCACGGATGAGCTGAAGAGGAGATTGCCGGTGGACTTCAAGGGGATGCTGGTGAAGGTTATCACGAAGGATGGGATCAGGGAGGTAGAGTATGATGATGATGCGGTGGTGAAGAGCGCCTGATGTGGGGTGGGAGAGCGTGTCTTGTTTCTATGGTGTTCTAGAGCATAGCATTCGGGTAGAATGCAATATGGTCCTGTTATGGTCCTGTTATGGTCCTGCTCTGGCTGCGTATGAACACCCTCACAGTGGTGGAAGGACATACTAGTCACGTGAAGACTGGCAGTGGCAGGGCTGATTACGGAGTATAGAATATGCATTTCTTTTGTGGGGTAGAAAATAACGTGGCGAATAGTTGGGAACCCAAAGACGGTAGGACTCAAACATTATATGCATATTCTTCTGCATGTACTTCGTTTACAGAGTACGGACATCGTACACAGTTCAAACATACGCTGCACAGTATGTTGGTAGCGCTGGTAGAAGAAAGCGGTCTGGTTTGCCTCGAGGGGTATTCGAGCACGTGACTATCTTTTCCCCCAGCCCAGCCTGTCCCCCAGCGTCCCCCAGCCTGTCCCCCAGCGTCCCCCAGCCTGTCCCCCAGCCTGTCCCAGCCTGTCCCCAGCCTGTCCCCAGCCTGTCCCCAGCCTGTCCCCCAGCCTGTCCTCAGCCCCAGCCTGTCCCCCAGCGTCCCCCAGCCTGTCCTACAGCCTGTCTACAGTTACGTTACTGCATGCACTCCAACATACAGGGGGCGAAATCCCCGTAGTTGAGTTGTAGTTGAGTTGGAAGAGTAAGAGCAGTATGGTTATAGGTTTATGAAGATTATTTGATATTCAGAGTACTGTTGAAATGTTTGCTCCTGTTGATTTTAGTAGAGAACCAGGTGGCAAAGGCAAAAGAAGAAAAAAAAGTGTTTCATCCAACATCTATAATATGCATGTACCTTTCACACCGCCCACACGCCAAAAAGGTACTTAGCATCGCCGTCCCCCAAAATAGTGGCGGTGATCCAACTTTCTACGCTAAAGTAGAGTAAAGTACAAGAACGACGCTAATGAAGCACGCTACCCACGAATTTTCTCGGCTTTTGCCTTTGCCCTACCCATGTTTTTATTCCGCCTTCGCCTTCGCCTTCGCCTTCGCCTTCCCGACCTCGTCTGCCTCCTCTCTCTCTTGATCTCTTCGATTCTTCAAACTCTCCTCCTCCATCAAACAAATCCTACCTCTTACCACTTTATATCTCCACATCATCTCCTCTCCTCTCTCTCAATCACCTTTCTTCATTCCTTACGAAAGCCTTTCTTTCACGAGGAATATAGTTTGACGAGATTAATTACTGTCCCTTCTTCAACGGCCTCTCTACGCTCGAAGAAATAGATTCGTACAGCAACGACTCTCTTTTTTCGTCTTTAGATTTCTTCTTCGATCTTTTCGACGCGCTTTATTTGATCACCCCAGCGATCTTGAAAGAGTACCCAGTACAGGCCGATTAATCAACCTCTCCAACAGCTCGCAGATTCAGCATCTACAGAACCAACGAAACTTCAGCTTACGATCACCTCAAGACCACACAATATGGCTGATCAACTCAACATGAACGGACTCTCCCTGGGAGAGCAGCGCTCTTACATCCCTCCCCACATGCGTGGAAAGATGGGCGGTGCTCCCCCAGCTGGCATTCCCCAGGTGGATGGGCCAGGCCCGGCTCCTGCTGCTGCTGCCAACGGTGGCGGAATGGGCGCCAGTGCGTGGGCTCAACCAGCTCCGTAAGTTTACATACACCAGACCTTTCAACTGATCATATCTAACATCATCTTAGATCCAACGGCTTTGCCGCTGACGGACCTCGACCAGGCGGCGACTGGGCTGCTGCCCCTGCATTTGCTCCCGGCGCACGTGGAGGAGCTCCTCCTGCACGCGGTGGCGGCAGATGGCAAGACTCCCGCTCCGGCGGTGGTGGCTCATTCGACCCCAATGCATACGGCAACCCTGCTGCCGGCGGTGGTGGCGGCGCTGTCTCCGCTCGTGGCGGTGGTGACGGACAATGGAGGGATGGCAAGCACATTTCTGGCCCAGCCAACCCCCGTGTGGAGCGCGAGCTCTTCGGTATCGCCGACGACCCAACCAAGCAACAGACTGGTATCAACTTCGAGAAGTACGATGATATCCCAGTCGAGGCTTCCGGACACGATGTCCCCGAGCCAGTCCTCAAGTTCACCAACCCTCCTTTGGACGACCATCTGCTCCGCAACATCGACCTCGCCCACTACAAGGTCCCAACCCCAGTCCAGAAGTACTCCATCCCAATTGTCATGGGTGGTCGCGATCTGATGGCTTGTGCCCAAACTGGTTCCGGAAAGACTGGTGGTTTCTTGTTCCCCATCCTGTCTCAGGCTTTCATCAACGGCCCATCCCCAGCCCCAGCAGGTGCAGGTGGCAACTTTGGACGCCAACGCAAGGCTTACCCAACCTCCCTGATCCTGGCTCCTACCCGTGAGCTGGTTTCCCAGATTTACGAGGAGTCCCGCAAGTTCGCCTACAGATCGTGGGTTAGACCTTGTGTCGTCTACGGTGGTGCCGATATCGGTTCCCAGCTTCGCCAGATCGAGCGTGGTTGTGATCTCCTCGTTGCCACCCCCGGTCGTCTCGTCGATCTGATTGAGCGTGGCCGTATCTCCCTTTGCAACATCAAGTACCTCGTCCTCGATGAGGCTGATCGCATGTTGGACATGGGTTTCGAGCCCCAAATTCGCCGCATTGTTGAGGGCGAGGATATGCCCGGTGTTCAGGGCCGCCAGACGCTCATGTTTTCCGCCACTTTCCCGCGCGACATCCAGATGCTAGCCCGTGATTTCTTGAAGGATTACGTCTTCTTGTCTGTTGGACGTGTCGGTTCCACCTCTGAGAACATCACCCAGAAGGTTGAGTACGTTGAGGATATGGACAAGCGCTCGGTTCTTTTGGATATTCTCCACACCCACGGCGCTGGTCTCACTCTGATCTTCGTTGAGACGAAGCGCATGGCCGATTCGCTGTCGGATTTCCTGATCAACCAGAACTTCCCAGCCACCTCCATTCACGGAGACCGCACTCAACGCGAGCGTGAGCGTGCCCTCGAGATGTTCCGTAACGGTCGCTGCCCAATCTTGGTTGCCACCGCCGTTGCTGCTCGTGTAAGTATTTGTCCTTTCGTTCCTTCTACCCCTGGAAATCTTCAGTCGACGCCTATCACAAGAATAATAATACATTTACTAATATATTTTTTAAAAAGGGTTTGGACATCCCGAATGTCACCCACGTTGTCAACTACGATCTCCCAACTGACATCGACGACTACGTCCACCGTATCGGTCGTACTGGTCGTGCCGGTAACACCGGTATCTCCACTGCGTTCTTCAATCGTGGCAACCGCGGCGTCGTCCGTGATCTCCTCGAGCTTCTCAAGGAGGCCAACCAGGAGGTTCCTGCCTTCCTCGAGAACATTGCTCGCGAGGGTGCTGGCTTCGGTGGCAGCTCCCGTGGTGGCCGCACCGGTGGCCGTGGACGTGGAAGCGGTGCCAACCGCGATTTCCGTAAGCTCGGTGGCAGCGCCGTTCCATTCTCCGGTGGCTTTGCTGGCGGCGCACCTGCTGCATACGGTGGTGGCGGTGGTGGCTACAACGCTGCTCCCCAGGCTGCTTATGGCGGTGGTGGTGGTGGTGGTAGCGGCAGCTACGGTGGCGGCGGTGGTGGACAGGGATATGGCGGCGGCAGCTACGGAAACCCAAGCGGACCTGGCGGCCAATCCTCGTGGTGGTAAATACTCCACTCGGGGCGACTCGTCTCTACTCTTCGGACTTTGATGGCGACGCCGCACAGTACCTGCAAGACCGAGACTTGTGGAACTTATTTCTTTTCGATCGATCTGTACTTGCTTCGATAATTCTTTTTGCTTTTTATATCTCATTTTGCGAGATTCGATTTCACGATGGCAGCATTCACGGGCACACTGCACAGAGAGCAGACTTGTGAACTCGACCATACACCGGCATACGATAGATAGCGTTGTCTTTTGTTTCTGGCTGTCTCTTCACCTTTTTCTTGATACCCAAATACATCAAGGAGCGAGGTGGCATCAGGCAGGCTGCATGAGATATCTGGGTGGCGCAAGGATAGGCCATCTGATGCTTTCACACAATGGGGATAGGAGCCAGAGGGACAAATCATCTGGGATTCGAATTACGCATTATGACCGTCATGTCAGCGCTTAATCTCTCTTTTTATTCGCACCGCGGCTTCGCTTACCAGAAGCGCTGTGTGGGACTTGCGATTCTACTTTTTCCTTTTTCCTCGCATAGACTGGCTGAAGTTTTTGTCGTCACGCTCTACCGGATCATATGGGCTTCGATCGTAGACAAAAGTGGATTTTCATTCGATTTTCAACAACCGGGCCGGCAGACCCTGTTGCGAGCGGCGGATCTCTTAACGCATTCATGGGATCTTCTTCTGGGCGATGCGGTAAATATATTGGGCATCGAAAAATGTGCTATTCGGCGGGCGCGTCTTTGAAGCAGGCATATTCCTTTTGTTCTCTAGATATGCATAGAGGATGGAGAGGAGCGTGCGGTACGACGCTATGGCGCTGATGGCATTACGGAAGTGCTCCGGCCTCTTTGCACGCGTGAGGGCGGTGGCTTTACCCTTTCGGAGGGTTGGGGATGTGCTGCACTCATGTGCGAGGACTCGACGGGATCACTTAACTTGGGGTATCCGAATTGAAACGTCTACGTATAAAACAATGCTACCTCGCCGTGATATGAACGCATGATATTTTATTATGTGAACAAGTAAATATGCTAATAATTCTCGTAGCTGCAAGAAACAGCTCAAAAGCTTGATGTGGGGGGGGACAGCGCTGAAAAGTAACTTCGTTAATCTTGCTACGAGGTTGTCGCGCGAAATAGAACAGCCTGGATGAAAAAAAGCATGGGTAAATACTCTAATTCATAATAACCGCGGAACCGGTCGCCCCGCGCTTGGACCCTTCATACTACACCACCACACCCTACATAATGATCCTTAATCAATTGTAGTTGGTTCCTGGCGCCTCTCGTACGTACGGGCATTATGTCCCATAATACCACATGTGCCACAGCGCCGTTGCTGTCCCTTAGAACCCACCTGCCAACTACTCTCACTTGCTACCTCCGATCGGACTTGAGCATCTACCTCTGTACTCTAAAGGATATCCTCTCCCTCACGTACAGAGAGACTACCACCTTGCATTATACGCCTCTTGCGCTTCCTTTCCCTCCTCTTTTTCTGTTCATTTGCTGCTTGTAGAGCCTTAACTTCTGTTGAATCATCGACGCGGAAGCAGGGATCAGAGCCCTGATACCGAAGCTGTGTCAGCCAGCTTCGTGATCCTCCGGATCCTAGATCTTCCGATTCTGAAGTTTCGATTCTGAAGCTCTAGGGAACGGACCGGAACCAGGAGGGTTTCAGGATCCGAGCATTTCAACTCTTTGAGTAGATACGGATAATCACGTCTTCAAAAGGCAGTATATAATAATGATAACGGCAATTGTGCGATTCAGAAACGTGACAACGCAAGGTAAAGATTCATTTGTGAAGACGTAAGATATAGAACACAAAACAATCTGAAGTTTGAGATTTTCGATGACATTGTTGTCAAGGATATTCGTGGCAGAGAAAAGGAGTTTACCCTAGACACCAACGGATTCACGATCATGCACCATAAGAGTAGCCTCGCAAGTTATGAGACATGGGATAATGTGCGAGCTTACAAAAGAGAAACTGAAGAGTCGCTGAAGAATTGGTTTGATGCCTGTTGAACACATATTGGAGTTTGAAACTACGGGGAGCGAAGCCCCTATATATACACAGTTGGTATACAGGCTACGCATGTGCAGCGTACTACTAGGAACGCAGTTCTAACAGATATGAGCGATGTTGCTGAGATGGCTGCACAGGAATCGGAGAGTTGATCATGGCGCACAGAAAAGCTTGCGCCGAAGGTAATGATTCTTCGTGGCCTAGAGATCGACTGTCAGAAGATGTTCCAGTCGCCAGACAGCGTGATAATGCGGGACAGACTCGATAGATTTTGCAGTGAAATTGATTCTGGGTCGGATCGGATCAAGAGACTTCTTGGGGGGGGGCAAGCGTCGCACGATGAGCGCAGCAGGTGCGAGAATGTTGGGAAGGAGGAAAGGTGCATAGAGATGGTCAGGGGCAGCCCAACTCCCTTCTTCTACGGCGCCAATAGAATCTCATCTATAACAGGGATTTCATTATTCTTGAATAATACACATATACAACACTAAAAAAGGTCCTTGAATGCCGTGTAATCCCTTGTATTCCTCCTTGCCCCAGCACTCTAAGTTGTTGCTTAGAACAACGCTGTACAGTCAAACCCTTGTTAAGACGATGGCATCCGTAGCAAGCATTTCCATCGTCTTATCGTATATATCGTTATATAGAGTAATATTATGTAAGCCACCTATCTAACGTAACCTGCTGCTGTGACTGTGCTCGAATAGCCTCAATGGCTGTTTGCAGCCGCTCTAGTGCCCGTATATGCCCCGTAGTAAGAGCATCCTGGCCTTCAGAATACTCAATCAGTATCTGGAGGGCATCCGGGCCTCCTTTGCCGTAGGCGCAGGCTGCTCAGGCTGCTCCTCCTCTTCGTCATCATTTTGAGAGTTCTGATGCCCAAGTTGCCCCTCTATTATCTCCTCAAGTAGTTCTTCATCGGTAGTCTGTCCTTCTACCGCTCTAGCCTCTTCCACAGGGTTTAGAAAGTTCGAAATAGCCATTGAGTCTGTAATTGATGCTGTAGTTATCGCTTGGTTGTAGAGTTCTTGTATTCCAGTAGGCATCGTTATTGTTGGAAGGCTAATTGGATTTGAAACAAGTGTAGATTTGTGGAAGTAGTTGTATATTGTAGTGTTTGAAACTTTTGTATTCCAAGCACGAATAATCCAGCGAAGAGCGAGTCGAAGATTCATAAGTTTCTGTGGATCTTGATTTGAATCGATAGTGTCGATTATAAACTGAAGCCAATGTTGTCGATAATAAGCTTTAACATTTTGAATAATTCCTTGATCAAGAGGCTGAAAACGACTGGTACTGTTAGCTGGAAGCCAACAAATGCGGATATTAGGGGGAGGAGGGTTAAGCTCAGCCCCTGTATAGTGTGCTGAAAAGCTGTCCATTGTTAAGAGTATTTGCCGAGTAGTTCCAATATGCTGATAAAAGGCTTGAAGCCATTCGCTCATAAGTATTCCAGTCATCCAAGCCTTCTTATTCGCTTTCCATTGTGCCCCCATTGTTGGTATATTGATTCGTTGTAGTGCTCGAGGTGCTTTTGCATGGCCAATTGCCCAAACAGGGAGTCAGTCTGTTCCAGTAGCATTGACGCAGAAAACCAGGGAGATCCGAGTCTTATTCTTCTTCACACCAGATTGGAGTTGCGATGACAGGCCTCGTGATGGCATCATCTTCCAGAAGAGTCCAGTTTCGTCCATATTGTATATATCCTCTTCTTGAAACTTCCCTGCTGTTGTCCGTAGTGCCCTCATTTCTTCCTCAACGTTTTCCGGAACTGATGCCGCCTCTCCAAACCGCTGTCGTGATTGTATATGATGCCGCTTTTTGAATTTTTCGAGCCAGCCAGTAGAAAACGATGGGCACTCTTGGCCAGCATATTCTGGCAGTCGTTTCCAGATCTGCTGTGCCTTCTGCTGTAGTATATCGCCAGTTGTAAACCTCCTTTTTCTTCAATCTGATTCTGCCACTCCCAAAGGATATTCTCTAGCTTTGGCCACTGGCCTATGTAATGGTGGGTGCACCAGATGTGAGAATCTAGCCACCCAAGGAAGGGATGAATTTACTAAGACAACACACTGTCTTAGGAAACAGAGCCAAAGGGTTATAGCTTAGACTATTCCACAACGCAGCAATCAGGTGTGTGATGTAGTGAAGTGGTTCAGACAAGTTGGCAACAAATGTTGAGTCTGAGAACTCAGGGATAAGTCAGAGGTTAACACCTCACTGACTTTTCAGAAACAAGGAGTAACAAGATGAATGCTTGGAAGCTTGGAAAAGATGTGGAAGTATGTGATAGTCGATTTACTGTATTGTCTGCTTGCCCTTTCTTAAGGAAAGGGCAATCCTATTTATGCTAAAGGAGTGTAGTTCTCTCATTTTCCAAGACTTTCCATGACTTACCAGGCTTGGTAACTGTAGTCGACGTAAGAGAATCCCATAGAACCATCTCTTAGGTTCGTAGCCTATAGGAAGTAAAAGGAGGTCCAAGGTCAGAGTACCCCTATAGACAAATTATGTCATAGACAAATTATGTCATAGACAAATTATGTCATAGACAAATTATGTCATAACTTAACCAATCTTGTGGGTAACTAAAGAGTGATGACGTGTAATGAATCATAGAGGTTCGTAGGAGCTTTTAGAGCTATCGTTCATGCTCCTAGGCCTCTAGTTGGTAGAGATATGTCATGTGGTAGTATGAGTGATGTCATGTAATGAATCATAGAGGGTTGTAGAGATATGCTATGTGGTAATATCGGCCTAGTAACTAAGGAGCGATGACGTGTAATGAATCATAGATGGTTGTAGCAATCGTTGAGTAGTATTGCTCTTGTTGTTGGTGTGATAAGCCAAAATATGTATAGTGACTTGTAGGTTTGAGGAGGAGATTTCCAAGTTTGCTCTTGAGTTTGATAGCAAACTGAGTGCAACGAATGTCAGTATGACATCTAGTTGGTAGAGATATGTCATGTGGTAGTATGAGTGATGTCATGTAATGAATCATAGAGGGTTGTAGAGATATGCTATGTGGTAATATCGGCCCAGTAACTAAGGAGCGATGACGTGTAATGAATCATAGATGGTTGTAGCAATCGTTGAGTAGTATTGCTCTTGTTGTTGGTGTGATAAGCCAAAATATGTATAGTGACTTGTAGGTTTGAGGAGGAGATTTCCAAGTTTGCTCTTGAGTTTGATAGCAAACTGAGTGCAACGAATGTCAGTATGACAGCCTAGTCGACGGCGTTGAATTCCAGTGTCTTGGTTCTTATCAAGGGCCTCAAAGTTGCTACTTAGTGATTCAGAAATAGTCGACTGGCTTAACTTGTGATGATATTGTCTTTCAAACCATTCGATACACTGCCGCTGAGTTGGCTTTGGAACTTGTTGGTGGGCCCAGTGTCGAAGGGCACGCCGCTGGTCGACTGTAATCGGCCTTTTTCGAGGCATTTTGGGTGTCTAATGGCCACGTTAAGACGATGAACAGGTTGGAAAAGACGATGATTGTTGAATCGTATTTTGTATGGTAAAAGTATCGGTCCGTGGAAAAATATCGCACAAAAGAGGTTATCGGCTAAAAGAGGATCGTCTTGGCGAGGTTTGACTGTATGTATGGAATGCACGGACCGTGTAATATTTTTGCGGGGTGTGATATTCAAACCTTAATTTAACGTTAAAATCTGCACGTGCAGCGATGAACATTACAAGTCTTCAACATCAGCACAGTTTCTGCATTGACGCAGATGCTGTGAATATGCTGTTGAATGCCACCACAGGTAACTTGGTTTCTCCCCACAATTCCAGAATGAGTATTTAACTGACCATTGGACGTCTAGCTGTCTCCACGCCGGCTATTTTGCTCGTCCCATATAGAAAGCACCATGTGCTACGGTACCATGAGTGGATGAAGTCGCCGGTATGATGCTAAAAGCCTGGATTTACGACGGAGGGGGTTTGATGCGGACTACAGGATCTTCAAGAGCTGACAGCTTCTGAACCTCTGACTTTGGGGGAGGAGTATGCGATGCAACTTAGTTGGCAAACGGATTACGACAAACTAACGTTCATTGCCTGTCACCCTCTCCCTGGGCCCGCCTCTAAAAATGCTGGGGCGGATTCGAATGATGGAATTATATCATCTCAGGGGTATGACGCCCCAGAAAAGATGATCGGCGATGTGAATCTATTTCTCAGGGTTGCCTATGAGCTTGACGGGGAGGGGGAGGAGATGCTGAATCGGCCGTACGTACGCGGCGAGATTGAGCTAATGATTGCATCCCCAAGTGATCAAGGGCGCGGGTTTGGGAAAGCGACACTACTTGCTTTCCTGCAGTATATAAAAAACCACACAGTTGACATCCTCGATCAGTACAAGAGCCACTCACCAGATGGAGCGGAAACTCACATCCAGAACCAAGGTGTGAAGATGGGCGGATTGGTGGTCGTTTCAAAGATCAACAAAAGCAACTTGAAGAGTCGGAGGCTGTTTGAGAGCGTCGGGTTCGGTCAGGTCGGCAAAGAGGACTATTTTGGCGAGATAGAGTTGAAGCTTTCTGGGGGCGTGGACGGCCTGAAGCCGATAGATGAGTGGTGCGAGGTTGGGTACCAGAAAGCAGTTGTACCAGAACGGTAGCGATATCATCGACGAATAGGATATACAATATCATGTTACCTGTCTGTAGAGAGCAGTACCAGCATGAAGATTAATGACCATGGTAATCGATAACGATTGCCTTTGTGAAAATGAGTGGCTGCTGTTGCAAGGAACTATATGGCGATATGGCGGGAAAAGGTCATGGGACCGGGACGGGAACAGGGACATGCATTGCAGTTAGTCAGAGGTTGGGAATAACTACATAGAACTCAATGCCTCTTTGACTATTTATAGTAACTATGGATCAAATACTTTCTCTCGATCACCTAGGCTAGTATTTATTATATCGTAGCCGCCTGTCAATAAGCCAAAAGTGCACCGCAAAGGAAGAAATCTACCATCCGCAATTTAAGTGTCATTATATGCACACGCCGGCATCCTCGGACTTCTAGGCCCGCAACTACTCCCAAACAGGCACTTGACAATCAGCGGGTAATTGATAAAAATGTGGAAATGTTTGATAAGAGCGGGGTAATTGGGTTTCCTGGCCATTGATGTTCTCGGAAAGTGTATCCGACAGGGTGGCACGGCAGCTAAGATCGTGGTCTAGCCCGTGGACACCGATACCGCACGAACGGCAGATAATGAAAATCAACCTCGGAGCGATGTAACGTGCCGTATTATAAAGAACTATCGTGGAATCAATTGTTTATATGAATATCATCAACAGGGAGTAGATAACTATTTGGGGGATTGGATAGCTGGCCATGTCTAATCGCCCAACGATGTTGCCCATACTTGATGGTTTAACGTGCGGCGAGTCATACTATCTGATCGCCCTGGCCGTATTCCTCACAGGCTGTACCTTCGTCTTCACGAAGAGATGTCGCAAGATCCCATCATTCTCCACCAAGGTAAGTATAAAGGAGTCATTAAGGTGCTAAATATACTAATTATTCCATGCAGAATGGGCCTACAGCAAGAGAGAAGGGGGGCATCAATGGCCAAAATGCCAATTCAACCCCCTCTACTTTTTTAGGGCCGGTTGATACGTTGGTTGACTTTGACTGGAAAACTACAGAGCCTCTGAAGAACCGTCCCTTCAAGCCAAAATACCATCTTACTATGGGTATGCAACTTCTCGAGGCACAGTCACAGAAACGGTCACTAACAACCCGGCGCAGCACTGGAGAAAACAGATGCTAATAATCTAATTGTTATGGATAAAAACTATCTAAACCGTGTCAATCTACGCCAGAGATATATAGCCGAGTACCCAACCACCGTTATCGGGCATCTAGATGGGTCGCGGCCGGCAGTCAAAGAACTATATGAGTTCCTCACAGACGGTCTGCTTCCTGTGCGGTGGCCCCAGATGTTCCAACGCTCAAAAGGTCAACTTAACAACGTGATTACCGGCCACAGTCTGCCCATCAGCTGCCCAGAGTCCTCTACAGAGGCACTTACCCAGATTGGGAGTAATTTAGACGAAGACTTTCTGATACTTCTTCCTTCGGATGACGGTGATGGATATAGGCTAAAAGCTTTCGCAACGTGCTTTCTCAGCGGCTTTGATGCGAGCAAGAAGCTTGGCTTGAAATTGCGAGATATTCACTGGCCTGTCCCGAAGTACATGCAAATATTGAACAAGAGTATGGACCGATATTTTGCTGCGCTGGAGGTTGGGAAGTTTAAAAGGAGATTCAATGTAAGTTACTGTCGATGAGGGTCTACAAGCCATAACTGACTTGATCGCTGTAGTGGAGTGTTATGACGAATAGTGAACTTTTCACTCCGTTTGAAATCACTCATTTCCATGATGGGAAGCACACCAATGCCGACCATCCTGCTTCAGTTACAGTGGAAAACGTAAGTACTTCTACAAATTCAGGTTGTCCTTCGTAGCTATTTACTAACGCCAAAATAGACATACCAGCGTACAGAAATGCAGTCTCTGTTCCGCTTACCCCAGAGTGGTGCAATCGTCTTCGTCATCAAGACATATATGTACCCCATACAGGAAGTCAAAGATGACGGGTATGGGGAAGAGCTAGCAGCGGCTATTGAGGGCTTGCAAACAGGGAATGTGCCAGAAATGTTCTTTTACAAAAGGTAGGCAGTGGCTGTTATTGCGGTCTATTACTTACTCATACTTTTGGCTAACATGGAGTGCTTTAAACAGGGGTCCAATCTGGGGAGAGTTTGTGAAGACGTTTTTGAGAAGTTGAAAGAACGAACGTAAGCCATAGTACTTCGAATCGGTGGCAAGTTGTGTTGCCTCTCGGACCCTTGGGGGGGGGGTCTTGGAAAGACCACCGAGACGTTGCGATCATCCTGAAAACCGTAGCTCATCTAAATTTTGGTTGGAGAACGAGAGTTATTCTGGGCTTCCTCTCATAGGTATCGTTTCTTCGTCGGAGCTTAGCTCTGGCTTGTTAATGTGTTTCTGGCTAGGTTATACTTTGCCTCAGATGTCAGTCTAATAATAAACATTTTGCAAAGATTTTCGTTGCGTCTAAATAGCGCCAGGTACACATATCAAATTGCAAGATTTCGCCAACAATACTTTTGTATTTCAACTTGGTCAACCCATCGCCTTTGTTAATCTCCTGTTCAGTCTATGCTAACATACCGACTTGGTCTTCTCTACCGTTGTGTGCAAAACTGCACAATGTAACCAGCTGATGAGGTTTTCAAGTGTTGGAGTGGGACAATGATATGCAACCAGGGTTTCCGACAAATAAACATGCCGAGCCTCTCTTTTCCGTAGCTGAAGGATCGTCGGAGGGCGAAAGAAGAGTAGAGCACGGCCCGTTCCACACCACTTGGCGATTCGCAAATTCCTGATTCCCCTCAATCTCCAGAATCCCAAATCTTAGACATTGCGCCTCCTCTAGCCTTGGCTCTCTGTACCTTGTCTCGTCCCGTGCCTTGGAAACGCCCCGTTAGTTTCCCCTCTCACTATTCGTACTTCTGCCCTTATTTCGGATTATGGGCGAGATTATTGTGCTGTGCTGGAGTCAATACGTCTAACCATGTAGACATGGCCTAATATCTCGTGTTGAAAGTCGCCAATCAGAGGCACGCTGTAAGCACTGATATACGAAGCGATCCAAAATCCTTCATCCTTCGCGCCACAACGAGTAAGGCAAGATCCTTCGACCAGGACCCCATGGCCCACACTAGACCCAGGTCTCCTCAGGGGCGGAAGCTTCGCCTCGATCGTGCGTCTATCCACTCTCAGTAGGGACTCTGACAGGTGCTAACGAACATTAAAGGCGCCCATCTCCTCCAAACATGAGAAAATAAGCATCGTAGATCTCCCAACTCCACGAAGCCCAGCCAGCAACCGCTCTCCTCAAACATGGCGAAATTCTCGTTCATCTCCGCCTTCATGGCCTCCCCAGCCTGGAGTCGCTCGGCCTCACCCGCAAGGACCTTAAGGCTATGGGACGTGTCGCGAGTTCGTCCTCTGCCGCCTTTTATCTACCATCCACCCATTCTAAGTGCTGCCATAGTCCCCGAGTCGTTGACGCCCACAAGATCCGCAGCGCCCTTCTGTCCGGCAAGCGCGCATCCGCCGCTACCATCCCGACTTGTGAAGACAACTACAAATTTCCTAAGGATGGCGCTCAAGTGTGTATTAACTTCCTTTCGAATCTTGGCTCGAAGCCTTGTGAATCTTGGCTCGAAGCCTTGCGTCGTATCCAGCAGATGTGCACCGACAACGACGCGTCCATTATGGGCGCCAACATCAAGAACCTGGCGAGCGTGGCATCGTCCTGCAGCGACGTCGCCATCGCCGCGCAGTGGATTTATGACAACTGCGGTATTGACACTACCAACATGAACGCTTGGGCTCACTTTGCGCATGGCAATGGGGACCTTCTTATTTCCATTGTTCCCGCATAGAGATGGAGTTGTCATGGGAATAGGGCAGGCCGACTGAGGTAAAGAAGGACAAACATAAGATTAGGGGGCTAGATCTCGGTGCAATGCATGGAGGGTCTCGTGTCTCTGTCAGGGTCAGGGTAACGGGAATTCACGCCCGACCTCTTGTAGGCGCATTGTTTATACAGCCTCTGGAGTGTAGAATCTTTGGCGTAATTAATTTAAATTATACAACCTTCAAATCCGGAGACCGAGATTCCCGCGCTATACACATATTCCCTGTCATGGTTGTAGAAGAATGGTTTGTTGATGAGATTGCTCATCGGTAGCTACTTTCTGATGTATCACAACATTGCGACAAAGTCACAAAATAGACACAACCTCTCTCTAAACACAGCCTTAGTTGTATAAATTAAGTGACGAATCAATTAACAATTAGATAGCCAAAAACATAGTTTGTTTGTTGTAGTAAGAAAACGACAAAAAAAATACAAAAAATAAGGGCTCAACCGGGATTTGAACCCGGGACCTGTCACATTCAAGCATCTGTTCTTTGAGAACAGGGGATGAATCCCGAAGCAACAATCATACGACTAGACCATTGAGCCTGTGATTTGTTTAGGTGGGCACTAGATGGCATTATTACCCACCGCATTTTCTTGATCATTCAATAAGATATCAACACAACTTCGTCGCATCGCACATATCCACCAACGAATTATATTTGCAGGGATTGATTGATTGAACAAATTTAATTGGCATTATTCTACCTATGAATCGCCATTAAAAACATCGATAACTACGCGCTCAACCTCCAATGTTTCCGAGTCTACCAGTAACAGCTCTCCCGTCTCGGAGAATCGCGGTACAGCTATCAACCGCACCATCTGTCCGTCCGAACCTTCAATGACAGTGGTGTCGAATTTTGGTTGGGATCCAACTATGTAAAGATGCGGGCAGTCCTTGATAACAAATGAATCGTCGTCCTGGAGCGGATAGCTCCCTGTTTCGCACCCCGTTAGCCAAGGTATCTTTCGAAGTGTAGAAAAATGTGAGACTTACACAGTGTATCTGGAGCAGTTGGTGCACAGCACCTCCACCTGCACATTGCCTCCATCATGCCCAACCGATCATCTCCTTCTACATACTTGAACACATCGTCCACGTTCTGTCCCCCAGTCCCCAGTACCCTCCAGCCCTCCACCTCCCCCTCCCACGGATTGGTAACCGCATCGAACCATCCAATCTTCTTCTCCCCATCGGTCGGCGGTCCCGATCCATATGCCCGTGCCTGTGGGAACATGGCTGAATGCACAGGCTGCTGGGGAAGACTCGCGTTCGCTGGGTCTGAGGCGCCGGGCAATAAGGTGACGGGGACACTAGGGAGAAGGGCGGCGAGGAAATCGTCGAGGTGCGCGGTGGGAGCGGGGTTATAGGCGCTGCTGTCGTAGCCGTATTTCTTGTGCGTTGCTTTACGAGTGTTGCCGAGGCTTCCACCGGGGACGGAGTCGTCGACAACTATGGAGTTTCCGGCGATTATTAGCCGGCTGATTTGGGAGGCTTGTTGTTGGGAGGCGGGGTCGAGAGCTTCGCCCAGAAGGTACTCGAGGAGGAGATTGAGTTGGAGGGTGTGTCCTGTGTTTGAGCCAGAGATGTCGAGGCCTGACACGATCGCAATCTTACCGCCACTTCCAGGGCGAGACTCAGTCATCTCCTCATCCTCGTCTTCCACCTTCTGCTTCTTAACTTTTCCGGATTCCGCCGCTGTTTTCGAGGAATCCGAGTATTCCCAGCGGGTTGGCTGGGGTGCGAGATCCGGGGTTCGGATGTCGATGACTTCGAAATCTCCGTTGGCGTTCTCGGTGCCCATAACGGAGACGATACAACCGGTTACCATCATCTCGTCTGCAAGGCGCGAACCAATCAGTCGTACCCGCCCAGATTCATCCTCCAGCATTGTCGAGTCACTACCATCCGACGATTTGTATTTTTGCCTCGGCGGCACCGCTGAAGTCCAATGCTATCCCAAGTTAACCCCCTGAATTTACCAGCAGCAACGAGACTTACATCTTTCGATATGTCGTCCAGAATATTCGGTTTCAGTGCCATATCCATATATATTGTCCCAGTAACCCAGCATAGTTCGCCCTGCCTGACATCCAGCACTCTCTCTACCTTGGTGGCTTCTTCCCCGCCAATCCCAAAGCCAGCCCAAGCCTCAGCAGCTACTTTCTCTGCAGCAGGCTTCAGCTTGGCTAACCGCAGGAAATACATGTCGCCATATTGCTGCTTATATTGCTTATCCTTTTCGAGGTCGAAGGTATACAGCGGCTTGTATTCGCAAGGTAGTCGCTCAATGGATTTTGGGATGGTGTCCCTGGGTTTGTCAATTGTGAGCGCAGGAGGATTTGGAGTAACAAACTTACGATGGTGCCCGTAGCAGACTCCCCGCATCAGTTTCTTTCATTTCCGCCATCGCACCACTTTTGAGAGAGCAGCGTTGCTTCTGTTGTCAGTTGAATATATTGTCCAAGCTTTCTGGATTGGGTAGACGCGTCAAGCATTTACAAGCTTCAACGTCATTCTGGTGCCACCCAAGAAGTTCGACGAACTGCACAACACTAATTTTTACAGCAACTATAATTAAATACACTCAGCCTGAGTGGCTCAGGGCTGTAATAAATAATTACTCATAATTAATCTGAATGTGGTAGATTACAGTGGCTCAAATAGCTGATGTCAATCCTCAGAAAATACATTAACGTATTTCACATGCGAGTCGCCCACACAAGCGAGTCGCCCACCCCATTTCATACCAAAAATTAAGAAACCTATAACGTATTTCACAAGCGAGTTGGCCACCCAAGCAAGTTGGCCACCAAAACACCAAAACGCGTCAACTTGACTACAGTCAACTATGCCACAACCAACACAAGCCCAATCCTCAAATCAAGAGGGTAGAATACTATTAGCTATTCAGGCACTAAAGGAACGTCAATTTAAGAGTGTCCGAGCTGCTGCATTATCATACGACGTGTCACGTAGTACCCTTACCAACAGAATGAATGGAATGACCTCCCGACGTGATTCTACCCCAAAATCACAAAACCTAACTTCGTACGAAGAGTCAGCTCTTGTTCAGTATATTCTCGACCTAGATTCGCGTGGATTTCCGCCCCGGCCGCAAGCTGTGCAAGAAATGGCAGACCTACTACTCTCCGAACGAGGTGAGAGCCCTACTGGGAAGAACTGGACTAGTAACTTCATAACGCGTCGTACGGAACTTAAAGCAAAGTTTAGTCGGAAGTACGATTACAAACGAGCAAAATGCGAAGATCCAAAGATAATTGAAGGGTGGTTCACCCTCGTACGAAACACAGTCGCAAAATATGGCATCTTAGAGCAGGACATCTACAACTTTGATGAAGCAGGTTTCGCAATGGGAGTTATTGCTACTGCAAAGGTAGTCACAAGCTCAGAAGCAAAGAGCCGTCCAAAGACTATACAGCCAGGGAATAGAGAGTGGGTGTCAATTATCCAAGGTGTTAATTCGTACGGATGGGCACTCCCGCCGTTCATTATTTTCAAGGCGCAGAATCACCTCTCAGCTTGGTACGAAGACTCAGGATTACCAGACAATTGGGTGATTACGCTTAGTGAGAATGGGTGGACTTCAAATTCAATTGGGTATGAGTGGATTCAACACTTCAATCGACATACAAATGCTCGTACGGTCGGAACCTATCGCCTTCTTATTCTTGATGGACATGAGAGCCACATCTCTGCTCAATTTCAACACTACTGCACAGAACGGAAGATAATTACCCTCTGTATGCCACCACACTCATCACACATTCTTCAGCCTCTTGATGTGAGCTGCTTTGCGCCACTAAAGCTTTCGTACGGAAAGCAGATTGAAACCTTCGTACGGAACCGGCTAAACCACATCACAAAGCTTGAGTTCCTCTCTGCATTCAAAGAAGCATTCAAAGCTACGTTTACAGAGCAGAACATCAAGAGCGGATTCCGAGCTACAGGACTAGTTCCGTACGAGCCACAGAGTGTCCTCTCTCACTTAAATCTACGCTTAAGGACTCCAACACCTCCTATAGTTGAGAGTGACAATTGGACTTCAAAGACTCCTCAAACTATAAGGGAGCTTAACTTTCAAACAGAGCACATTAAGAACCGCATCGTACGACATCAGAATAGCTCTCCTACCTCAATTAATGATGCTGTTAGCTGCCTTGTTAAAGGGGCGGAAATGATGATGCATTCTGCTGTTCTACTTAAGGCAGAAGTTAAGGCTCTACAAGCGGCAAATGAACAGAAAAAGAGGAGGGAAAGGAAGCGCAAGAGGCGTATAATGCAAGGGGGCAGTCTCTCCGTACGAGAGGGAGAGGATATGCTTCAGAGTGCTGAGGTAGAAGCTCAAGTCCGTACGGAGGTGGCAAGTGAGCATTGTCGGCAGGTGGGTTCTACAGGCCGACAGAAGCGCTGTGGCATATGTGGTATTATGGGCCATAACTCCCGTACATGTACGAGGCACAAGGATTCAATTACGATCGAATAAGGGTCATTATGTAGGGTGGTGGTGTAGTAGTAGGCAGTAATAGTCAATTTTGGTGTTTTGGTGGCCAACTTGCTTGGGTGGCCAACTCGCTTGTGAAATACGTTAACATAATATCTCAATAACAAGAATTAAGAAACCTATAACATAATATCTCAACAACAAGAATTACTAAATATATTACTATAACGTAACGTACATGTATAGCGAAAGCCGCAGACGAGCGACGCGACAACTATATAAAACACTACATTTCTCCACCATAAACGATGTCCTAGAAAAATGATGAAAGAGACGTTATTTCAGCCCTTCAAGCTATGAAATCCAACCCAAAGTTAAGCGCAATAGCTGCAGGGGAGCTCTATAAAGTTAACTATGAGAAGCTCTGTCGCCGGAACTGTGGTATACGTGCACGACGTGATATTCTAGCCAATTCACGGAAATTGACAAACCTAGAGGCGATATTGGGGCTTTAGCAGCTTTCAACTTCGCTTGTCAAGTATAGGAATTAAGCGTCTTCGTATTAACGTTATAAATTCAAGCAGCAGCGATTGGCTTTTTAGAAGGGTTCTAGCAGAGGAATTTGAGGGCTTGGTCCATTGTACAGAGTAAAATTATCGCAGGTGCATAGTTGAGAGTAAGAAACATATATATTTTAGATGTAAATCTCTGACTTGGCTATGACAGGATGCAATTTCGCTTTCTGGATGCACTTCGCTTTCGCCAACCACCTATAGGGTGGTTGGTGCAAACACTAACGATTATGTTAACACCCCTAAGCACCTGCCTAAGTACTACACAACCTTAGGTTTCTCAAACACTAAATAACCTAACAATCAGTTCTTGTTCAACACATATTCTACCTAGCAGCTAAGGGATTTCCTCCGTGGATGTCTGTTGTTGAAGATATGGCAAATCGACTACTTGCAACACGCGACGCGCCTGTTACGATATCAAGTGTGTTACGATATCAAGTGCGCCTTGCAGCTCAAGTAGGGGTTCAGGGGTGTGGGGAGCTTTCCGGGGTTGGAGCGAAGT